GGTTCAAATTCCTGCGAGATAGCCTACACTTTTAGAGCATTGCAAAGGAGGGGAGAAAAAATGTCCACCTACCTTTAGAACAATTTCTTAACCTGGAGTAAGAAAACTTAAAAAAAAAATTTTTGATACCTGTATTTCAATATACTTTGTTTTCTTTGTAATCCTATTATTTTATTCTGTGCACTTAAAAATAGCATTGTGAGAGGAGGGCCACAGGTTTCACTAGACTGCCAGAAAGATCAATGACCAAAAAAAAAAAAAAGTTAAGAACCTCTCATCCAGAAAGTCTGCCCACTGCCCAGGACTCAGGAGAAATTACCTACTTTGCTTTATGGAAGGAACATGAAGGCAGGACCATACCCAAACGGTTTTAGAATACTCCTAACCCTATTTTTCAAGGGCTATCAAGCTATTTTGAAACTTCCTCCAGTCATAAATGATCTCTTTCCTCTTCAAATTTCTCACAGCACTCTGGACATCTCCTCTAGACTTGTCATATTCCATCTTATTTCATAGCCCTTTATGTACCCACTTATCCCTCATTAAACCAGAAGGTCCTTAAGATCAAAGACCATCTCATTTTATCTTTATATACTCAGTACCTTGCACAGTGTTTTGTGTGTAGCAAGTATTTAATAAAATCAACAACTAGCTAAAGAATTTTATCCAGGGCCTATTGTGTCTATGTTTTAGACTCTGTGCTAGGTTTTGAAAATACAAAGACAAAAACAAAATAATTCCTGCTTTCAAGACGTTACATTTTAGGGTCAGAGGAAAAGGGCAACATACATAGAGAAGTATAATATCTGTGTCTGTGTGAGTAGGTGGGTGTTGGTGGGTATTCTGGGTATGAGTACGGCTGTGTTTTACTTTTTAGTACACACCTGTGACTTCTTTGGTTTTGAATTCCCAGTAAAGAAACCGTTCTATAAACCCCAAATCAGCAAATATACTGCAATTTATGATTTTAGAGGGTTTATACACAGAGCTCATACAAAATAATATCAGGAGCACTAGCCATTTTGGGGAAGAAGAAAGGCTTCTCTTGTAGGATGTGACATCCAAGTCGTGTTTTTAAAAAGCTAAAAATTTCATGAGGTGCAAATGTAAAGAGAGAACATTCCTAGAAGGCAGAGAGAGTGTGAGGAGGAGTGATGTGTGATAAGACTGGAAAGAGAGGTTGAAAGGCTTTACATGTCAGGTGGAGGGATTTTTTAATTTTATATGAGAAGCAAGATGGAGCTGCTGGAGCTCCTTAACATGAAAAATTACATGATCAGACCTAGGATGGGTGGTGCAGCAGATAAAGCACTGGGCTTGGAACTAGAAAGACTTGAGTTCAAATCTAGCCTCAGACACATTAACTGTGTGATCCTGGGCAAGTCACTTAACCCTGTTTGCCTCAGTTTTCTCATCAATAAAATGAGCTGGAAAAAGAAATGGCAAACCACTCTAGTATCTTTGCCAAGCAAACCTCAAATGGGGTCCCAAAGAGTGAGAAAGGACTGAATAACAACTACCACACCTAGGTTATATGTATCAATTTGGCAGCTAGGTGGACAATAGATAAGAGAAGGGAGAAACTAAAGCCAGGGAGACAAATGTCTGCTGATTTTAAATTTAAATTCTGAGTTTGAATAAATCATTTCTGATTTTTCCTTTATAATGAGCCCTTCTCTTCTGGGCTTTTGTTTGCATAAATAATGCATTCTAATGAAACAAGAAAAATGATCAATTATTCCAACATAAATAATACTATTAAAAATATCTAAGAAGAATGTTCCATCAAATCCTCTATGAAGAAACCACGGCATGTGTGGCAACAGTTGTGTTATTTTAACCATTATTTTAAAATTATGTTAAATTCAGTTGCATGAAACTTATTTTTTCCAAATCATTCTAGTTCCTATTCCATTTTGTGACCAAGATTTAAGCCAGAAAGATAGCTAAACCCAAAATGGGGGTGCATCTTAGAAAATATCAAGGAAAGAAAAACTGAAAATAGATTTTTCTAACACTTGATGTTTTAGATTTACTTTTATCCAAACAGATCTCTATTCTTCTATTTTTTATATTAACTAATAACACAAGGAAATTAAAAGAATATTGGGAGATTTTTTTTTGGCTTGGCCTAGCCTCAATGCTAGGAATGTTTTCTTCCATCTGAGGAGGAAGAAGAGAGAAAAAGGAGAGAAAGAGAGACAGGGAGGGAAGGAGGAAGAAACAGTGGGCAACAGACAGACTGAGAAACAGACAAGGAGAGAGAGAGAGGGAGAGGGAGAAAGAAATGAGAGAGGCAGAGAGAAGGAGGAAAAGAGGCAGAGAGAGGATGAAGATGGGAGAAGAAGAAAAACAGATTATTTTGCTCAATACTATATCACTTAGCTCAGGACCACCAAGAAAAGTTACAAGAAAATATCATTCATTCTTCTCAGTTTGTTTAGGAACATAATGTTTTAGAGTAAAATGCCAAGCTCTTCTTGTGCCTTAAACTCTCCATGGAAAATGGCTGAGTCTAGAGTGTAAGAGTTGGAGGGGGAAGTTAAATCAGTCAGGTACTCTCATATCCTACACTTCTAGTGCAGGAGCTTTTAACTCTTTTTGCATCATGGATGCAGTATCATTAATAGCTAATAGGTATGTGTCAGGTACCATCCTAAGTGCTTTACAAATATTATTTCATTTGATCCTCACAATAATCCTGGGAGGTAGGTGTTATTATTATCCCCCTTTTACAGATGCGGAAACTGGGGCAAACAGAGGTTAAGGGACTTGCCAAGGGTTACACAGCTAGTACTTATTCGAGACTGGATTTGAACTCAGGTCTTCCTGACTGCAAGCATATCATGTACCCTCTGGCAGTATGGTGAAGTATACAGAACCCTTCTAAAAATAATTTTTCAAATGCATAAGACAAAGCACATAGAAATTTTTAAAGGAAATCAATACTAACGAAATACAGTTATCTAAATATGAAATAAGTTCACGGATCCCAGGTTAAAAACCTCTGCTCTCATATAAGTAACAGAAACCAAGCCAAACCAAAACTCCTGGTATTTGCTTCCTTGCTTCCCCGCCCCACCAGTTCTTCCACCAACAGCCACAACAATCTTTTGTCTTGCCTACAGAATTCAGTACTTCTATACTAGATTACTCATACTAACTGAAACCAGAACATAACTTCTTCCTATTGCCCCTTCCAAAGTACCAAAGTTGTTAGCCCCATAGCACCGATGCCCTTCCTTCTAGACCAAGGGTTCTTAACCTTTTTTGTATCAGACATGCCTTTGACAGTCTAGTGAAATCAACGAACTTTTTCTCAGACTTTTCTAAAATTCATAATTGAAAGAAGTAGTAAATTTCAGTAAGAGATTAGTGAAAATAGAGGTGTAATGGTAGCATTTTAGTGTCAGTTTACTATAGGGAAAACAGCACTCATTTTATAGTCAGAACACCTTGGTTTAAATCCTGGTTCTATGACTTGATCAATCAATTAATCCGTATGTATTATTAAGTGCCTACTATTTTCCAGGCACTGTGCTAAGACTTGTTGCTAATGACTTGCTCAGAGTCATTGAGTCTGGACATACAGAAGCAGGATGTAAACCTGTCTTTCTGGCTACTGGGCCAGCTCTCTACCTACTATATCATGATTACTCTTAAAATTATTAAGGACCAAAAAAACTGAAGAAAGGAGAAAATTACTAAGCCAAACTTCATGAAGTTGGAAAATTTAAACCAATTGTTTCATAATGATATTTGCAAATGGACAGAGGCAGAAAGCATCAGATAATTCAAGATTGCTTTATTAGGAAATCTAATTAGAATATTAAAAGGTTCACCTAAATATTTAGAAGGGAATTAATCAAGTGAAGATGGTATTGAGTATTCTGAGAATATTTTAGGGGATGGAGTAATAGCCATCCATCCACAAATATGTGTGCATATGTATGTGTATATGTGTATGTATACACATATACACATCTGTATATAAGTACATATGTATATGTGCGTGTGTGTATACATACATACATATATATGTATACACACACACACACACAATTTCAGCATTACACCACTTCAGAACTTCACATTGTGAACTCTTTCAAATTTATTTTTGGTTATCCAATATCCAAGCTCAAGGTGTCAGTACTAGTCAAATGAACTAAAAATTTTTGGAAGGAAGACCAGTGTGTATATATATGTCTATATACATATGTATAAGACCAATGTGTGTATACATATGTATATATGTATGTACACATATGTATATATGTATATATACAAACATGTGTGTGTGTATATATATATATGAATATATATGTAAAACGAATATGGACAGACTGTGTCTCTTATGGGCTCTCATTTAGGCAGTTTCACTACCTCATAATTAAACCAAGCTTTGAATTCCTGACTGAAAATTTTCATTACAACCTCAACAAATGACTTTCACAAATAAATTGGACTTATTATATTCAGGTCACATCAAGACAAGCTGGGAGCAAACTCAATATGTGGAAGGAAGCACCATGGATTTCTGTTTCCTTTACAAACTATTACTAATTTGCTAACAATTCAAGAAACTCAAATGCTAATTCCTAATGGAGACAGCAATAACAAGAGTCATTTGCACTTGCTGATTTGGTACACTGCCTGTTGTGTAATGGGAAAACAACCAAAATCTTACATTATCAGAAGATATTTATAAGGCTGTCACATAGCCTACTAATACCTTTAAGTAATAAATTGTCCTGAGAAAGAAACATGTTACTTAGCAACATATTTCACCTTAAAATCTGGTTTCAGAATTTTTATTTACAGAGCTATCTTAATAGAGCTTACTAAAAAGGACAAATTGTCAAACATTTTCTAAAGCAAATGCACTATTTGCTCATAAATAGAATTTTGCTGACTTGAAGAAACACCATTTCCCCACACAGACAGATTGGCCCTTGAGCACACATCTTTATAAGCATAAAAAAGAAATTTGATGTTCCTACCTTTTTTAGAAACCGCACTCCATAGGTAAACACATAAAGGTAAAATGTAAATCGCCACCTGTAAAAGGTAATCATATATTATGTTGGGTTAATTAAATGTATTTCACAATACACTGTGTACTAAATAAACAGGAGCGCTAGATAACCTAGATTTACTTCCTACCAGAGAAATGTAAAGTACTGAGCAGTTACAAAACCAGCTAAAAAAATATGTAAAAGGTCAAATGTTTTATTCATAACATTTTCTTTTTCTTCAGTTAGTTATTTTATTTTCCCTTATTCCCCACATCATCTCCTCTACACATAGTACCCCAGGGTTTTCTAATCCAACATTTACACTTCCTTTTGTGATTAAGCACTTAGCATCCATGAAAGGATGTGGTTCAAGAACCCGAGGGTGTACAAAACAGCCTTAAACTCTATTCCTGGATCAGACACTAATTCTCTGTAGGTGCAAATAAACCATTACACTTAAATCACATTTTACTTCTGTAAAACAGAAAATACATCTAGAAAACCTGCAATAGAAGATCAGGACAGATGAAAAAAAAAATTTTTTTAATGTGAATGTAACTCTTTGTCTTAGACCTAAAAGAAGGCATAAAAGTGAGAATGATACATTTGAATTTATATTAAAATACTACTCCTGACTCCTCCCAGACAAGAAGGTTCTGAAAAATAATCAGATATGGATAATAGTCTTACAAATTCTTACAAATTTCCTTAACACATTATTAGGCTATCACAGGCAGTATGGCATAGTACATTGAGAGCTAGCCTCCAAGGTAGGAAGACCTCCTACCTCTGATTCCCACTGGCCATAGGACTTGAGCACATTACTCAGTACAGTGCCTGACACTTAATAAGTATTTAATAAAGTGTTGATTGATTAAAGCCACCCAACCTTGGTGCTCAATACGATTCTCTAGTTTTAGAGAAGGTGAAGACCTGCATTGTGAAAGGGAGCTTTCCCACTGGGAAGTCCCCTATACCCTTAATTATCACTTGCTTCAAGGAATTTCCTTAAGGCAGATCAACAACATGTGTGTTACTTTTGCAAAACATGGTATTGCAATGCCCACTACACGGGAAAAGTCTTAAGATTCCAAAAGATCAATAATGAAGCATGCTGTCTACCTCCCAACAGAGAAGTGATGGTCTCAAGGTGCAGAATGTAACACGTTTTTGGATATGGCTTGATTATTTTTTTAAAAAGAAATTAAAAAGGAAAAAACAAGTAAATATGCACTGGTAAACCCACACATGCATATCTTGATTTATGAGTGTACACTTTCCTTATAAGTCAAGTTACATCAGGTCAAGAAGTATTTTTAAGTGTTTACTCTGTGTTAGGCATTGTGCTAAGTGCTAGGGATACCAAAAAAAAAAAAAAAAAAGAAAGAAAGAAAAATGAACTCTGTTCTCAAGAAGCTACTGTTAAATGGCCCAGATGGGAGGCACTATTAGCATTAAGGGGGAATCAGGAAAGGCTTCCTGTAGAAGACTGGATTTTAGTTGGGACAGACATGAGGAGGGAGGCAGAGGCAGAGATGAGAAGGGAGAGCATTCCAGACATGGGGGAACAACTAGAGAAAATGCACAAAGTCTGGAGCGTCATGCAAGGAACAGCCAGTGTCACTGTATTTTAGAGTACATGGAGCTGAGAAAGACAGAAGACTGGAAAGGTAGGGAGGAGCCAGGTTATGAAGGGATTGAAAACCTAAACAGAGGGTTTTACATTGGATTACAGAGGTAAAAGTGAACTACGAGGTTTACTGAATAAGAAGGTGCTGGGGATTTTAGGAAAATAATCCGGAAAATATTTGTCATTTTAAGAACTATACTTTGAATAATTCATACTTCTGAAAGGAAAAAAAATCAGCCAAAAATTTTCATAATCATAAAAAGTATCAAATTCTTTCAGTGACCAGGAAAATATCATTCTAGAAGGGACTTTGAGACTATAACTCTCTGCTCTCAGATAGAGACCATATTTTTCTCTATCTTCAGTCTCCTTAAGTAGCCTGTGCTAAATTTTGCAACCCCTCAATTCAATTCGACAAGCTACTATGTGCCAGCTCCTGTAGTAATTACTGGCAATATAAAGACAAAGATGGTCCACACACTCAAGGAACTGATAGTCTATTGGCAGAAACATGTACAGAGATGAATACATACGAAATACATACACAGGAAATATAAAGGAGAAGGCATTTGAACAGAGTCTCAAGGAGGTAGAATAGAGGTTCTTATTTTGGAGTCGTGTATAGCCAAGAGATCTATGGATTGATTTTAGGATTTTCATGGACATGGAAGAAAAAAATTACATCTTTATTTTTACTAAGAAACCTCTAACTGAAATTCAGCACTTCCTTCAATTATTTAAAAATATTATTCTGAGAAGTCCCTTAACCAGACTATCAAAGGGATCTATGATATACAAAAATGGTTAGGAAGCCCAGATTGGGAAGGACATTAAATGCCCAAAAGAAGAGTTGGTATTTGATCCTAGAAACAATTAGTCATTGAAGTCTCTCTAGTAGGAAGGAGAATGACATACTCAGACTGTGCTTTAGAAATCATGGATTTGGTTGATAGAGCACCGGCTCTGAAGTCAGGAGGACCTGAGTTCAAATCCAGCCTCAGACCAAACACTTGACACTTACTAGCTGTGTGACCCTGGGCAAGTCACTTAACCCCAATTGCCTTTAAAAAAAAATGAAAGAAAGAAATAATGGATTTGTCAATTATGTGGAAGATGTAAGTTCCTTGAAGCCAGAGCCTATTTTATTTTTGGTTTTGCATTCCCAACACCTAACAAAGTGCTATGCATATAATAAATGCAGTATTTAATTTCTATGAAGGGAAGATCGGGAGTCAGGGGACCAGATAGGATGTTATTGCAATATAATACAAGTGTTACATCTAGGGTAGAAGAGAGGAGACAGATGTATGATATGTTGGAATGGCAGAATCCACAAGACTTGGCAAGACTTGGATATTGAGAGTGAGAGAGAATAAAGAGTCAAGTGTGACTTGAAGGATAGTGATATGCTCATCAGAGATAGGAAAGTTGAGGAAGAGGGATGAATTTTCCAGGGAAGAGACTGAATTCCATTTTGGACAGCTGAGTTTAAGGTGCCTATAGGACATCCAGGTGGAGATATGCAGTAGACAGTTGATGATGTAGACATAGAGATAAGCAGGAAAAAGATGAAGGCTTGAAGAATGTCTTCTCCACTTATTTCCTTTGTACTGCAAGAATAAACTCATGTCCTTCATCTTAACCAGAACTGCCCTATGTTTGCTATTCATGTAACCAATTTTCCTAGTCACATTTCAAACTATACCAATAATAAGATCTGAGACAAAACACAATTGATATGTTTCTGCCTGAAGTATATATACAACTTTTCATTACAGGACATAAAAACTTAAATATGGGAATATTAAATAATCTTTTCTATTTTTAAAGGTAGATTCCTGATCTATGGAAATTGTTTCTAAACAAATCAGTTTCTAGCAGAGTCTTAGAACCATAGGCCTTTTGGGGATTTTCTCCAAAGACTCATAAAAATAAAAATTAGGATACACTATCAAATATTATGTCTGAATATTTGAAAGAATGCACAAAGAAGAAATTTGAAAAAAATGCATTGATATTAGGTGACTGGTTAGTTTCTAGTTTAAAGGACTTGGCTGATTTTTTTAAGGAGGCAATTCAATGTTATAGAAAAAAATACTGCTCTCTAAGTTGGAACACTTGGGCTATAGTCCACACTCTCTAGCAAACTGCAACCGTGAGACTGTTCAGTTCAAGTTTCTCAGCTTCAGTTTCCTTGACATAGAAGTGTTGAACTACATGACCCTAAAGGTCCAATCTAGCTATAAAGTTCTATAATTCTACGTTATACAATAACTGATGGGAAAAAAGTTTAAAAATGGATAAATAACATTGAAAAAGTACATTGCAAAAACAGTAAAGTTTTCTTGACTTTCCCACAAGAAAAATAGCTTATCCCATAAAAAAGATAAGTTAGGTACTACCTCATGACCAGTCATGAAGTATTTCCCAGAGGACTGTCTCACCAAAGAAAGTCTGGAAACCTTTATAATGAAATGAATTATTTAAAAGGTTTTAAAATCCTTCCTATATTTTCCATAGTATGGATAAAATGATCATGTTGCCATTTCCTTCCCTAGAAAAGACAGTGTTCCACCCCATACATTAAGCTATTTTATATTATCTAAATCTGAAGATTAGAATATAAGTCTATTTAAAATGGCCTTTCACCACATCAGGTTTATTGTCTATTGTCCTTATACAACAAAATCTAAGCAAGGTTCTTTAAAAAAAAATGAAGCCTAATGACATGTCTCATAAAGGTAGAGAATTAGAGCAGTACCTGAAATACTGTGCAGGCATCCCTAGAATAGCATATGGATATTAAACTATAACCAGGAAAACCAAAACCCTGGGAAACAGAATCTTGAGCTCAACAAAGAGAATGGTTAACATTGAAAACCTTCAGATTCCAACAGCTCCTGGAAAATTGTGGTCATGTGTTCCTATTTGTTTATGTTTGTTAAATTCATAATACAAAATTTAAATTTTAAGTTTCATATGCAATCCTTTTTTTCTGTTCTTTTGTTGAAAGTTTCCTTTTTATCAACATGTCAAGTTCACAATATAAAAGGAAAATAGTGGTTATATTTATTATGTCCTTTCTCAATTATCCACACTGAAGGAGGCACATCATAATACAGATAATTGTAAACTGGATTGCAATAGGCAAGAGGGTTTTTAAACTTACCTGGACGTTCTGAATAACTTGCATGTGTACTAATCATTTTAAAGCAATTCCATGTGAAATGCAGGGACTATTTAACATGAAACATTAACAAAGGAATTTCCATGACAACCTTCTTGGAAGCAGGTTTCTTTCAAAGGTTTTTAGCTAACAGTTATTAGAAATTGCCTAGCAAGAACAAAGTATAGGGGTGGAGCCAAGATGGCAGAGTGAAAGCAGTGACTTGTTTGAGCTCTCCCCCAAACCC